TTTGTAGGTACTTTATTTTTTACCACGATATTTTTGACAACGATGTTTTTAAACTGCTAAGTTTATGAACCACTTTATTTTCGACCACGATATTTTGTACTACGATATTTTAGAACTGCGATGTTTTCTCCCACGATGTTTTGTACCACGACGTTTTCTCCGCGACGTTTTTGCCGTGACGTTTTCGGCAGACACCAGGAAAAACTGGCTTGAATTCAGGTTAAATACTGGGAATCTCAACAGCCTATAGAAGAGGAACGAAGGATGATTTCTATTCACAATTTATTTTAAAGAAGTACTTATTTTTATAATGATTTAGTTGATCATTATAATAATTTTTTGAACATGCTTAGTTTTCAGTTTTAGTCTACTTCCTTATTACGATGCATATAAATTTAACATCTTTCCTGCAGTTCTCTGAAATATAATAATTTATTAATTGAGAGATGTGTACATTAAAAGCACGTATTGAGTGATTTCCTCGTCCAATTACTAACTTAAATTACTATTCAGGCCGCATCAGTTATATCAGCCGAACCGCTTGTAACTTTTTGAAATTTTTTCTCTTTCAGTCCCATGAGCAGAGTCTACATCGTAACATATATCAACATTCATATCATCAATATCAGCGTGAGCTGGAAAAAATGAAAATAGAGTACCTACAGTTATAACTTTAACAAATTAACGGAAAAACAAATACTTTTTCATTAATTTTAAGAACAAATATATTTGTTTGATTTGTGGATCAACGGTTTTTGTTGGGAAAAAAAGGTAACATGAAACGATATTTTAAGACAATTCATAAAAAATGTCATATTGAGCATCCTTCTAACTACAATCTAAGAAAATGCAAAATGAAAGAATTGAAGAGCACATTCGTCGCCCAATAATCAGTGTTTGCCAAGACCGTAAGTAAAATCAATGTTTCCTACGGCTGCATCATTTAAAGTTGCATTTGCACTTGCAGTCCACAAAAACACTATTGAGTATGGTAACATAACTAAAGGAGCAATGCCCTTGTTGGCATCAGAAAGTTTATTTCAAGAAGCTACAAATAGGAATGAAATCGTGTCAACTGCCCAAGGTATCCAGCCTAATTAAGCCACAGCGCCACATGTGGCATGCTCCCTAGAAGCAAACAAACTCAAAGTGTCCAGCTCTTTGAATGCCACCAATTTGAATTTCCATCACTAGTAGAATAGAGCTATATCTGAAAATGTCAAAGGATAGGTAAAAGATGATTTAAAGGCGTTTTCTTAAATTTTTATAAAGATAGTCTTTAAAAATTGCTCAGTGAAGGAAGATATACTGCCTGTTCTGCTCTTAGTAGATTAGTAGATGGCGTTATCATCGTGACAAAAATGTATCAGTTAATTCTTTTAACTCAACGTGTTAAGACGTGTATCTTGAAGCGTCGAAAGGGCTACATTCCTGTAGCCCCGCTCTTGAATATGTACCGGTATAGTGTTGTGTGTTGTGTTTAATCAGCCTAATAAACGTTGTGTGTGAACTTGGCTCAATCCTTGGAATAACGTACCGACCACATATAGTCAGCACCCTGTAACCATGCCTCTGAATTCTTGGAGCTAAATCATGACCGCTCACTGCCAGTTTTGATATTACCTAAAGAAGCGGATATCTTCCGCTTCGAAAGCTTGTGTCCATGATAACAGATAGCGCTCCTGCCATGATTAGTTCTGCTATTGGTTTCATCATATTATGTAAGAATGACGCTGATTAGTAATTACATTGCATTATACATCAGCAGGCATTATGTATAAAAGTTTTACGTGAGGAACACGTGATGGATGTTGTTCTTAAATCTCTTAAATCCTATTGGTGCCAGACAACTTCAAAGTAGATTATCCAAAGTAATGAGAGTTTAACTTGATGCCGAGTATAAAATGTTACATTCTGAAATTAGATAGTTTACTAAGGGAAAAGTCCTACAACGATTTTAAAGCTTCTTACAGACACAAAACAGTTTTTAGAATCCAGAAGTGAAACTTATAAGGAACTTAATGATTCAACTGGTTATCTGATTTCGTCTTTCTTACAGACACAGCATCCTAAATCAATAAACCAAATCTTGAACTTCAGGAAAAAGAAATTATTATTATTGAGATTTAAGAAATATAAATGCATTTAAATCAAAATCAAATTTGTGCATATCCCAACTAAAGAAATGTAACTTTTGGCAGTTTACAAATTTGGAAAACTACATCAAAACAGACAAGAAAATTGAAACAATTAAATATTTTGAAAGTCTCGTCAGGTATAAAAATAATTTCGAAATTAGATTTTCTGATTTTTTTAATTCAATTGCTTCGTTCGTTTAAAAACAATCCGAAATGTCGCCACAAATTGAAAATATGTTAAATAAAAGTTCTGCTGATCTGGCAATGGACATAATTGATTTTTAATCTGATTAACAAAAACCAAGATCACAAAAAGACATTTGGATGCTTGTATAGATGAGGAAAAATATTCACTCTTAAAATAAACTTTTCAAAGGTTAAACTCTTGCTTTGGATCGTATTACCTTTGAAAAAGGGATTTTTCAACAGTTAACTTGTTAAAATTAAACTTCAGGTCCAGGCAATACACAAACATCAGAAGACAGCATGAATTTAACGATAGCATCGTATGTACCAGGGTACAATAAACTTTGAGAAGGCATACAGTGTCAGGTTTCGCATCAATATATGCTTTTCTTGTATTTAATATGCATCTCATTGAATTTTTAATATATCGTACTATAAATAGCATGTAATTACACTTTTGCTTCAATACACCCCACATTTTTGATAGTTTGTGCATTATACCTGCATATGTTAATTCAAATATTAAAAATGTAATATATAACTGTGGCTCTCCAAATATATTTTTTAATTTTAAATTGGATAACGTCAGTTTAAAATGAGTTTACAAGATTGGGCACACTGGCTTAGAGACTCTATTTTTAAATATACATACATATCACTGCTGCTATAATTGTCTGCTCTGCTTCTAAACTGCCGATGGTTCGCTACTTCACAGATTCTTCCCAATCATAACAAACCGTTTGAGTCCTAGCACACTGAAATCAAGCGATGTATCGCAGAAATTCATTCAAATATTCACTTTCGGCAAAGCGCTTGATTTACCATCACATGACTTTACACATGTATTTGTCAATCAAAAATAGTTTGTTCACTTTTGAGTGACGCCATGATGCACCGACACTATACAATTTATAAGCTTCCAAGCCTTCTCCAGAATTCAAACCTGGCCCTTCGGCGCGGCAGTCAGCGACACTTACCACAATAGCGGTTGGGCGTCAATGAGTATGTCATACATTAAAATATAAAACACTTACATACTTCTACGAATCATTCTGTATTTTTTCGTTCTTCTTCTCCCGAAATACACAGCGATCTGTTTTCACTTAAAAAATATCAGAGATTTCTAGAGACTCGGCTTCGTGAAATCTTCTGGCAACAGCAGCTATCTAGAACATACATTTCGTCGTTGTTCCCTTAAGAAAAGTTTCAGCAAAATTCTGAATTACTACCGAAATTTTACTGTAGTTTCTTCCATTGCTAGCGAATTCCACAAGCTCATGCTTTAAAATTAAGTTAAAGCAAAAAATATCACTATTTGAGTATAAAAAAAAAAAAAAACCATTGGAACTTGGAATACAACAAAACAGAACGCATACGAAAATGACGGCGTTGCTTGATTGAAATGTTTGTTTTCAGCATGTTTGCCAGAAGAATGATTATGTGCATGGTTGCTAGAGTTTGACACTTTCTGAAAATTTGGCTACTTCTACTGAGATGGTTGCCACAGAGCGTAAGTATCTCCAATTGTTTCTGGAAATTACAAATTTGATGTGCCTAACAATATTTTTTATGGAATGATTAAATTGAGAAATTTTGCACTGGTGATAATACAGTTATCATTACATCTTGCACTTATCTTTTGACTTTTTGTATATTTTAATTGATAAATCCTTATTATTACTATTATAATTCCTTATTATTTACTGTTTCGAAGATACCAAGCTGGTGCCAGGATTATCGCCCAAGTTCATGTTTACTTTTCATTTACATTTTGTGGATGCTTTGTTTCAGAATTGTTATAATTGGTATGAGAAGCATTTTTTAGTCCCAAGGATTTCCGCCGCATGAACTCCGGAAAACAACATAAGATTCGTGATAATTACAAACTATCCGGTAAAATCGGAAGTAAATTTTTTTCTTCATTTTATTTAATAAATTACATTAACAAGTGGAATACTCTTCGTTCTTCTGGTGACGAGAGAATTACGAATGATGGTGAACTTTTAATATACGGGGGAAAAAAAGAAATATGAAACACTTCGTATACTGAGAGCTCTTGTCGTCACGAGCAAACTAAACGAATCTTTGACAGGGCTACCTGCTACGTCAAGTCTGTTTGCGCTGGCAATTTATCGATAGTTTTAGTGGCGCTTGCGAAGCGGAGGTCGTAATAATAAGAAAGCACCTTTAATTAAGTTTATTACTAAGCTTTAAAATTGAAAATAAAGACGATATTTTTGCGTTATTGTACTAGAATGCGTGAAATGCCTTAATTTGAATTAGATGTTGACACATCCCCCATATTCCAGATAAATTTATTATTTTAACGGATAGAAAAGGATCAATATATTTTAATTCTTGTGTTCTACCGCGTAATAGTTTTGGCCTAGTAAGCTACATTTTTCCAAGATGATCCTACTATAACATGAATAAATTTTCAAAGGCATCTTTCCTCTTAGGCAGATATTTATAGTGTAATTTGTCATCCTTAAGTAATGCAAGTCCTGTGTAATATAATCCAAAATAAATTTATAAGACGTCTCATTTTTTGTAAAGAAGTGGGTAAAGGTCGTGTACTTTAAAAGAAGATATTAAATGTAAGCATATAAATTTCAATCATATAAAATATAAATATATAAAAAAGACATACAAAATGCAAACTCAATAAACTGAATATTAAATTGCAAATACTTTATATATATACATAAATTTATTAAAATAATCTTTTCTGTTTCTTGTAAAAATCTCAAAATACATTATACTTTGTATATTTACATAAAAATATAAAATCTTTTTGTCATAAAACTGGACTACAAAAGCATACATAAAACAAGAAGACTATGTATGTCTATTACACAGAAATCTTCTATTTCGTAATTTTAAAAAGTGCACATTTCTTCAGTACGAAGCAATGTATTTCGAAAAATTAGGCATTCAGGTTTTTACATAAGAAATCTCAGGATCTTGTGTGTAAGTCTCTTGTGATTCTTCCTTATATCCAGAATTTTCAATACCACCTGTAAAGATTAGTTTGCCATGTAAAATATTTCAGATTTATTGTTTAGAAAGAAATAATTTAAACACATCCTACTCAGCATTTATATAAAAATACTTAATTAAAGTGTGTAAAATTATTACAAAGAAATACTAGATTAATTGCATTAAAACATTTGCAATAACCTCGCGTATCTGTTTTATGAAGAAAACGATTTTTCCCAGTTAAAACATCCGAGTGATTTTTATACATTAGTTTTTGAAAAAAATCAGAGTTAAATTCATTTGGTTTATAATATTTAAAATGGAACTTTATACTGGCAGAGACTGCCACGAGTCTATCTTTTTTCAGGGACAAACAATATTGGGACTTAGTATTATACCGGATCACATATTCTTGGTGATACATTTTTGACACCAAGTTATTAGTTATCTATCTTAAACATTATAAGTATAAAGAAAAGTATGCTAAGAAACATTAAATATTCCGTGTCATATAAGAGAAGAAAATGTGTTTAAAAAAATTACATAACTCAGCATATTTATTTTCGTTAGTTTCACTTTTATAGGATTATTATTAGATTCATTTCTCATTATCTAGTTAAATGCTTTTATAAAACCTTTAAAAGTGAAAATTTAACGACACTTTTCTCATCATCATAATTTAAATTACGATTATGGTACTCACACATACTATGATCAATTATCAAATATATGTTTTTCATCACCTCCAGTATTGTCAACTTTAATCAATTATTCTGATATAAATTTTGTATCCAGAATCAATACTTACAATTATTTTCAAAGTTATGAGCCACTGAAAGACATCTTCGCCGGATATAAACATAAATTGCATACAGTATAGCAGCAATTAAGCAAATAAGTGCTATAACTCTATGCTAGTCTTCCTCCAAATGCACTCATGATTAGCCCACCAATTAAACTGCTTGAGGCTTTACCTGTAAAAAAATAGATTTTTTCATGGGAAATCGAATGAATCAGTATGCATAAGCACAGAATATTAATACGCATTGAATTTGCATAACCGATACAGAGCAGAAAAAAATAATATTATAATTAAAAAATCTAATTTATCACGATTTGAATATTTTATTTATTCAGTTTTATTTATTATATTTTTACAGTTAAGAAATTACTAATTTTCCTTCTACCCAGCACTTTTAGTGGGTCACTGATTTTAAAATACTAATTTAAATTGGACTTTGTATTCGATTTCATAACTTTCTAAATTATTGTCCAAATTCTGATTTCATAAATGCAAATGTAAATGACTTTAATAAATTATCTTAAACTTTAAGTGCAATATTGTTTTAAAGCCAGAGAATTCTAGCAAATTTAGTTGCTTTGGTAATAGTCATAAAATAAAAATATATGATTCAAGCAAATTATGTTCATGACTGTTATTGTAAAACTGTATTCTAGTTATAAGAGAAAAAATAGCGACATTAATTTGAGCTATGTTTCTAAAGATTTAATTTTAATTGACAACTTAAACTTGTTCATCTTGAATTTTATAATGTATTGACAGAAAAATTAATATACAAAAGTAAAATTAATAAAGTAAAATCAAGAAAGTGTAATTTAAGAAACAAAGCGTGAGCTAAAAAAGCTCAAAAGAGGATTACTTAAACGTAAGAAACGTAAGAAAACTTCTATACAAATAAAAAAGACAAGGTGTAAATTCTTTTATATAACTTAATAAAGCACTTGGTTATATAACTTGGTATAAGCACAAGAGTTAAAGAAACTTTATTTTTGCATTGACAACAAGGACATAGTTTTTAACGATTACGAAAAATGTTAATTATGCTGCTTAAAATCTATCAACTTTATGTGAATAGCTTTTATTAGAATTTCTAATAGAACTTCATTTCGCTAATTGCGATATTAAATTATAGAGATTTCAATATAATTGCTTACGTCATTTTCAAATCGCTTTCATGAAAAAAATGTTTATTTTTATAACCAATAGATAGATAACTGCTTTGCTGTCATACTGCTAATTTAAAAAACTTACAGATATTGGACTTTCTGGATTTTGATTATCTCTGCTGTGAAGGAATCTAATTCAGCAAACGTTAACAATTAACTAACACATTAAACTCTCTTAAATTAAACACAAACGCTCCCAACCATTTTCTTCACCAACGGATTTCGATTTTTGTTGCTTTATGCGAAAATTTTTATCAGATTTACTTCTTATTCAAGATATACAGATCATAATGATGGAATTAAATCGCTTCTTAAATATGTTTATGTGAAGAAGAGTAAACCATAGTCGTACAACTCTTCACAATATCACCGAGTACGATCAGCGGATACACTTCAAACTACTATGAACGTTAAACACAGCTAATAATCTGTTGAGCTAACAGCTTACAACAACTCCAATTAGATGCTCTCATCGGCCTTTTATAGTTCTCACTCGGCTTCGAGATATTTCTAGTAATTTCTGCTTCTTAAAATTACTGAAAGGCAATATGAGGGTCGAATTACGGCAACAGCTAATATAGTGATCAATTACATTTACTCAGTTATAATACCTACTACAGTGATACAGGGACCGGACAAAAATGTCGCCAAATAGTCACCAAGTGGCAATTTCTCACCAAATTTCGCGACAAAAGCTAGTGGCCGAAACTGTTGCCAGCTTGGCGATATCATGCCAACTGACCGAGATATCCATTTACTCTATTTTGAATAGACTTGTAACTGTATTCTTACTTTTCCAGCATTCTGTATAGATTTCTCGTGTTACATTACTCAGAAAAATACAGTTTCACATAAAATTGCACTAAAATCATCTATCTATGTAGAATATTCGTAACAGTACATTCTAATAAAGAATTTATTCTTGCTCTGGTCTTACTTGGGTATAACGCAAACTATTTTTGAAACAAATTTCATCAAACGGATATTAATCGTTATCAGTCTTAACTTTAAATTCGATATCTAGTCGGCCTTCGTAGTATAACTGGAAGCATACTCGATGCGATTTTGAGAGGTCTGGGGTTCGAATCCTGGCGAGAGCATTTCACATTTTTCACGTCTCCCGCTTCAAAACAACTGAATGATTCTATAACGTATGCTAAATGGATTCACTTTATAGCCCATCTGAACAGCCGTATTTTACTTCTAATGCGAATTTAAAACTTATTAAAGTTTTCTAAGGGTACAGTTTAACTAGTTTTTATTTTCATACATTTTTGTAGAAAGCTAAGATAAACACGAATAAAATACAGAAAAAATAAAATGCTTGAAGAGCCCTCATTATAATAATTTAATTAATGTATAAAAACTTACCAACACTGTAATGAATGGCTCCTGCTACAGAAATTACAGTCGCCGTCAAACCTTCAGGAGCAATCTCATGACTATGCACAATTACAGCTACCCACAAGAGGTGATAAGTAAACACTGCGGATACTTCCAGAAGAAGAGTAAACCATGGATTAATGAGAAAGGAGTATCCGACAGTATTTCCACAGTATTCTACAAGAGCTATTATGAAAATATTTGATGCACCGATTTTTTTAACCCACCAGTTTGAAGTAAGAAGAAATGGTAATCCATACAAACTGTTCATAGCTGGAATCAGACCCATCAAGATTGCAGGCGCATTCAGATCTTCTAGAAACCAGTTTGTGAAGTTCTTTGTAAAATTCCACGTGGTGCCAAGTACAAAAAGAACTAAGATAAATATAATAATGTCGGTGTTTCTCATTAAGATCAAGGACTTTTTCCACATATTTTCACCCGGAGGTTCGATTTTGACTTTTAATTTGTAAGTAATAGCTAATGTCAAAAGTGACAATCCAATGAAACAGTAGAAGGTAGATGCATAATTGTTTTCACTTGCTGTAGGTGTGCTTAGATCTATAATATATCCGGATAGAGAAGAAAAAATTAAGGTACTAAGAATAGAAAAGAAGCGTTCTCGTCCGAAACTGGAATTATGTTCTTTTACCAGAGACATTGAAGTGACATCCAAAATGCGGAAACAAGTTGTATATCCCATAAGAAAAATAATGTATATTACCATATTGGCGACTACTAATTCCCATCTCAATGCCCTATCTCTTGCACATTTTTCATCAGTGAAAACCTCACAAAGTGCCATACATTTCATTTTATGGGGCCCTTGGCACCAGGAATAAGCTGTATTGTTATATATCAATGTATTAACATTATAGGAGCACTCTTGTTTCAGCTTAGCACTGCTGTTCATGTGGAGTGACAGCGAAAAATTATGAAACTCTTCCTCGTCCTGTAAAATTCTGCACATAAGACTGTCTCCATAGCAATACTGAGTACTGTTTTTAGAACAATCCAAATTGCAAGATTTTATTGTGACATTTTCTTCTTTGCCGCAGGTAGTTGTTGCAATTAGTTTGTCGGACTCTCTCTCATCACATTCGAGAGTAAAGGGCTGGCCATCGCAACTTTCAATATTCATTCCTGGCATCATAAGTAAACTTGCGACAGCTAGCATTGTAATCACTAGATTGCCTACCAGAACAGGCTTGGACCGTCCCAGTTTATCAGCTATTATTCCAGACAGGGTGGTTCCTAAAAATTGTAGAGGTGGTGCTATTGTATACGTGGAGGATAATTCTGTAAGAGTGAGACCACGCTGCTTGAAATAAACAGGGATATAAGGTACAATGACAGCTCCAGCTGAAAAAAGAAGCATACATTTAATAAATTCCTTTATTTAATCTAATACTTTTACACATTGTCAGAAGAAAATAAAGTATGAGTAACAAAGAAATTGTGTAACGTGTTTTGATAATGTCATAAATACTTAGTAATGATATTTGCTATTGAAATAGAATTGTTTGCGTTATTTTTAAGCATTCTGTTTTTTCAGTTTACTACAGACTTTTATTTTGATTAGTGGTAAAAAGTACATTATACACTCATGAAAAACACAGGCGTTATTTAAAATGTCGCTATATGTTTTCTACTTCCTGTATGTATCTGGTCTGGTTTCGTTGCAGATATTATGTAAGTTTAATGAAATAAATGATTTTACCACCGGGGAAGAGCGTAAAGTAAAATTTACAAGATTTTCAAAGGATATATTATGCAATTTCTCAAAGAGAAACGACACCTACGATTTTCTGTTACAATTTCGTGCACTGTCATGAAATGTTTGAAGCTTAAGATTAACAATATTTTGGAAATTTCGTATCAGTGGATTTATATATCACGCCATTTAGAAAATTCGTTTGTTAGATCAGAATTTAAATAACAAGAGCGTAATTGAATAAGCATTTATGTTTTCAAATAGTTAATCTCATTTGAAAACCAATTAAATTATGTTGTATGCCACAGAATTAGTTCCAAATTTCCATATTAATGAAGGTGGTTTTTACAGGATATAATAAAATAATATTAGAATCTTCATGCTTGAATTTTCTTCTTTCATTGAATGTCAGTTGTCCCCTAATGCTTCTTTTAAAGTTCTTTATAAAGATACCTCAGAAAAACTGAAATAATTTAAACATGAAAAATAATCCAACAATTACAATGCAAATTAGATAAGGTGGAGAAAACGTCTGTGAAAGTTTTTCGGTATTAAGAAATTCTTTAAATTTCCTTAAACTTCGTGAAATAATCGTAGATATTTGCACCGGGTAAAATTATTACCCTAATTTTCTATGATTATACCTCAAACATTTCTTCTGGGTGGCTAATTTTGAAGATGAAAGGCAGAATTTTTAATTGCAAATTTACAGTTTCTGACCTATCGCACTAAAATACCGTTTTTTCAACTGTAAAATTTTACAGTCGTAATATATAATATTGTTATATTTAGGCATGTAAAATTTAATCGAATTAATTGAATATTCCTAATTAACAATAACGTTTAGAATTTCAGTCAACCATCAAATTAGGGCATGTTTATATAGTACTTAAATGTTAAATAAATTAAACTGAGTATAAAATTAAATAATTTTAAAGCCTAAATTTATTTTGTCGTATCTCTGTAACGCAGAAACGAAAATTACTTCAGAAAAAGGAACGAAACTTTGAATACAATACACAACTGCGATTTAATTGGTAAAATATTTAAGGCCATACAAATATTTATTTGTACGGCAAATAATGCATACTATTAATTGGAATGATTTTGTTTCACATAATTTATATTTATGTTACTAGGGAGGAGAGAAAAACTGAGAGTTTATGTCTCCTAAACAGTATCAAACGTCATCGATCTCCTTAAGCTATTTGAGCAGTGATATTGAATTTATAATCAAAATAAATTTCATGTATACAAAATGTACTTTAACTGAAAACTGCAGCGATTTTATCGACGCTGAAGAAAGTACTAGTTTTATGTTTCGCGTAATATAAGCCTTGAAAGATTTGCAGAAATAAGCTAAAATGCAAACAGGGAATTTCTAATTCTGACAGTCTTCCAAGACACTTTTCGGGGAACGAGTATGCATTACCACCTAGAAGAACTGACTGTCGCCCAACCGATAAGCGTCGCTGACTGCCGTGCCGAAGGGCCCGGATTGGATTCCCGGATACCATGGATGTTTGTAAATGTATAGTGTCCGTGCATCATGGCGGCACTGTAAATATGCAGCGAGCCCAAAGTCCTCTTGTGTGGTTTGGTGGACGGGAAGAGGAGTGGGAGACCCTCGCACCCGTCCCTTCCCCGGGTGCTCCTAGGCCAAAACATCAAAATTGTGCGGAATCTCAAGTATTTAGGGGTAGTATGGGACCAAGGTCTCACCTGGATTCCGCATATCATGGAAACCAGAAACAAGACGTCAATTATCGCCCGCATAGCAAGACAATTTCAAGGTCGCCACTGGGGCCAAAACCCCCATATCCAAAAAGTGCTATACCTCACAGTTGTAGAAAAAAATAGCTTTATACGCTGCCGTGATCTGGGCGCAGCCAATGGGTATTCGCAAGATCAGGCAACTTACAACGCTACAACGCCCCTTCGCCCTGCAATTAAGCAAAGCCTACCGCACAACCGCCACCAGTGCAACAACAGTTCTAGCCGGCATATTACTACTCCATATAAAAGCAGAGATGGAGGCAACTTTTACTAAATTGATCCACCTACGCAAAGATGCAACTTTCGCAAATACCAGCTACAGTCCAGTCCAGTTCGAACGTCCCTCCACTTCTACCCATACTCATCCAGCTCTCAGAGGAAGCGGAAACCCACATCAAAATTGACAAGCAACAGACTCACACCTCGACACACGCACCACGGAATGGGAACCAGATCTACACAGACGGTTCAAAGCAGGAGAATGATGTAGGTAGTGCTTTTGTGCACTATGAGAATGGCAAAACTGTACACGACTGGCAAGGACAACTTCGCACTCACAATAGCATCTTCCAGGCGGAAGTACTGGGAATTACGGCAGCAGTGCAACATCTCAGATTGCCAGATCCCACGAGCAAATATCTATACCAATAGCCTTCCAACTTTACTTGCACTTGAGAACCATCATCATGTCTCACCTCTCATACTCAGTCTCCAACATCTCCTTATGCAACACCCTCATTACCATCTCAATCTAGTCTGGGTTAAAGCCCATGCGAATAATGAGGGCAACGAGGCTGCTGACACGTTGGCCAAAGATGCAATTTCCAACCCGACAGCCCAACCCATCACCGTACATGCGCCCTGCTCTTATCTAAAGGGCCTCCTACGAGAGCAAGGAATGCACCAATGGCAACGTGAGTGGACCGAATGGAGACAGGCATTCCGTTCCATTCCATTGACGGTAGACGCGAGCACTGTACGTTTATCATATGGTGAATCAGTTCAGCACCGCGCCCCCCAAGATCTAGAGCAGCCAAAGAGGCCACACGAGAGCCGCGCACAGAGAGACCAAGACCAACGCCGGATCAACCCAGGGCAGTTCAATGAACCAAAGGCTCATAGGAGACCCACACCCCGTCGCCCAGGTGTCAGATTTATAAAAGAAATATTTACATGGCCAAACAAGGGCATAGAGAGATACAATTAAGTACATTAATAATATATCAAGGATTGTACAAATTTAACAATAAGAGGTAAAGATTACAAGATTATAAGATAAAGCAAGTTACAGGAAAATGAGTACAGAACACAGAAGGCGTGTTATAAGTTAAGGGCATCACGATAAGACAGAATAGGCCTATTACTGGTTAATGACATCACAATAATACTAAATCTGAATCAAAATTAAACATATTAAATAGGCCAATGGACCCTCACTTTCAATCAAATTCTAGCTGCACAATGGCCTGCACATACATCTACTTATGCCTATGCCGACGATGTCGCTTTTATTGTCCGTGGCAAAACAAGAGAAGAGCTTCAACGCCATGCTCAAGAAACGTGCAACCTTTTTTCTACACTATGTCTAAATATAAATCTACAGATTTCTGAAGATAAATCTTTTATACTCCTGATCCCGAAAAATGGTGGATCTCTGGCACGTCGACTCCGCATCGAAATTAATAATAAAAGAATAAAGATTGTTCGTCAGTTAAAATACCTTGTCATCGTCTTTGACGATAAATTGAACTGGGCTCAACATCTTTTGCACATTAAAAAGAAAACTTATAACATAGCATATAGGCTCCGACAGATGAGTGGTTTTCAGTGGGGGCTTAACCCGCATATACAGAAACTTCTGTACCAAACGGTTATTGTCCCCATTGTGCCTATGGGGCAGCTGTTTGGAGTCAACCAATGCAGGGCCGTAAAGTAAGGTCTCTCCAATCAATGGAGACAGGCAAACGGACTTTCACCTACCTCTCGAAAGTTTTCACCGATCGACTCTTTGCCGTAGCACCTCTCACCTACTTCATCACGGGTCACGGCCCGTTTCCCAGCTATTACAATCGCCACGGCATCTCAAATACAGATATCTGTGTCTGTGGATCAGAAGGGTCACCAGACCATTACGTATTTGAATGTCCTTTGACGGCTGCACACCATCTTCCGCTACCTACAAATAATAGGAACGCCTATCACCGGTTCCTTATAACGCATAAAGGAGCGGTTAATTCAATCTCCAGCATCATGAATACCATCGCGGCATTGGGCACAGACCTTTACCTACCGTGCTAAAATGACGCTCTGGTGTACTGACGATAAGCTCTAAGACTAGTCCAGTGAATTTTACAATATCTGGGCTTCACCACAACTGTGTGTTTAAGCTCCCCTGCCCACAATCTAAAGTGGTAATACTAATAATTCGCAAATATATGGCATCTCCTTAGTGAGATGTGTTATGCCTCCATAATGATACGTGTGTAATGCCTTCAACAGCATGTGAACAACATCTTCTTATGCAGTGTTAGTGAACCCTTGTGTGCCTCACGATGCATACATTGCTGGGGCGTTGCCCAATAATTAGTGCAACAACATCCTCGTGCCTTTTATGTTTTTATCTATGTTCTTAGCGACGCTACAATAATCAACGCCTTAGCAGTCTAACCGCACTCTTCTGCACACATGAGTATTCATGAACTCATCATTCATCATTAAAGATGTACCTGTATTTATATACAACAGAACTGCCTTACACTAACATTGTGCTCCAGCTTTCATGTGACTTCATGTACTCCATTTATATTTTTGTGCCTTAAGTGACTATGTGTATGTACCTGTTTTTTGTGCTATCTGTTTATGCATTTTACGCATTGTGCTTTGTGTATTGTTGCCTATGCATTTTTATGTCTTTTTATGCGTACGTCTTATTATCCAAGTATTTTTAGTTTAACTACCTACTATCTGTAACACCACAGCTTGCCTCTTCAAACTGTAATACAATCCTACTAATGCCCTTGTAAGGCCATGTACTTCCCTTTGACAACCTCAATAATCTCCTGGTGCAGCCTTGTGTGGTTCCAGGAAGCTTTTGCCGTAGTTAGAGGAGGGCTTGGAACACATGCCTGTTTACCTCTGTTAGACACCAGGCGTTCCAGTCCTCCGTAACCTACCTACATACCTACCTACCCCGGGTGCTCTCCAACAAAATAGGGACCGGAACTGAGCTAAATCATACTGTCACCTGAATAGGGCTCAAGGCTGTTGCCAACGGCAGACGTAATAAAGCACTCCTTGCCACGAGATTTTCGTGGAAAAGGGCATAATCATTCGATTGTGATTTTCGTGGGCTTCGGCTGACTACGTCAGACAAGTGATCATAAATAACCACAACAATGAAACTGAGTGTTTTCAGGTCCTTAAAAACCTCCTTTTTCGTTAAATCCTGTTAACTGTTTACCTAAAATATTTCTTTGTATTTTTTTTTTTAAATGTTAAAGTGAATCGTTTTCTATTCTTGTTTGTATTTTTTAATTTTCAATTCTTCCCTGAATTCTGATAGCTGGCCGAAATTTACTTTCATGATTTATTTGAATTTATATGAAGATCTGCTTTTTTGTGTGTTAATTTCCCTCTTTTAATTTCTCAAATAAATGACAGGTGACAGGTGACAGCAGGACAGGGCACCCGGACGGCTTTCTATGACTACTCGGGTATTACCCTGGCCCTGCAACCATCTAGAGACTTCACAGTTGTAAGACGCTTTTATGCCAATTGTGTTTATTGCATGTGCCCTATTCCGGCCTGCAGAGGTCTATGCCCATTTTTTCTAGTTTGTCCATTATGCTTTTAAGCTTTTGCCGCGTGCCTCGATGTTTTACGAGAAGGCGTTTGAAAGGCAGAAGAACATTGGTAGTTGGGAATTTGATGTGCCATTCTGCTGTTAAGGGGCACTCCGTGACATAATGGTCTGGTGAGCCCACGTTGTCACAAACACACATATCAGTTGTTGCTAGACCCCTTTCTGCAAAGTACGTCGGAAAGGGGCCGTGGCCTGTTATATATCGCGTGAGGTAGGGCGCTGAGATGAGCCGGTCCACCTCTACCTTGGGCAGGAACTCATATGCTCTGCGGCCTTGCGGGATTTGGTCCCATTCATTCTGCCAGTTTCCAATGGCGGACTCCTCTATTTGCCTCTTTAGGCATGACCGGGGCAGGGGCACCTGAATCTGCTCCGTTTCCTCATTTTGGGCAGCCTTCTTGGCAAGAGCGTCTGCTGCTTCATTTCCCTGGATTCCGGCGTGCGCCTTCACCCAGGAAATTTGGATTCTCATTGACTTTTCTTGTAGACGGAGGACTTCTTGCAGGTGCGAGATTAGTGCGGAGCGCTGGAGAGGGTTGTTGATAGCATAAATGCTTGACAGGCTGTCAGTAAATATCGTAGCTCGACTCTGCCGTGTGTCAATTGCCCATTTCACTGCCTTTGTGAGGGCAACTACTTCCGCTTGGAACACTGAGTTCTGTGCGCCCAGACGGCCCTTCCATTCCTTTGCTATGTTTCCATTTATATAGGCTATATAGGCACTGCCTACAGCGTTATCAATTTTTGACCCGTCTGTATAAAGCACGGCCCCTGGTCCGTCTAAGCGCGGGGTTAACGCTGGTGAGTGGAAAGTCCTTATGCCCAGTCCATATTCCGACGGATGTGTGCTTAGTTTGGACCTGCGTGTTTCGTAGACTTCTGGCAGATAGCATGTATCCCCATATGTGCATGGCTGTTGGAGTTGCGTCACCTTTGCAATTGAGGCTTCTTGCTGCGCTTTGATTGGGAGCGGCATAAGCCCTGCTAATACCGAAGCGGCCGCAGTCGACGTTGTCCTGTAGGTCTTCGTTATGGCCAGGACAAATGGTCGCTGTGCACTACTTAGCAATTTTGCCTTTCTGACTGTCATCGGGGCTGCCCAGATGGCTGCTCCGTAGGTTAGGACCCTCTCCGCGACAGTGGAGTAAAGTATCTTGTAGATATTGGGCCGAAGGCCCCAGTGCGGGCCTTGCATTTTTTGCAGATTGTTTGCGATTCGGCGAGCCTTTTCTCTTTGGGCTTTAAGGTGAGGCAGCCAGGTGAACTTTTCATCCAATATAATACCCAGGAGTTTTAGTTCTCTGACCCTTTTGATGGTCTTCCCATTAAGCTGGATGGTTGGGTTTCTTATTAAAGTTTGGCCTGGCTTATGATAAATTATATATTTCGATTTTGCCTCAGAAATTATTAGCTTTTTCTCCTGACATAGCCGAGAGAAGGTATCAATTACATCATTGCAGTTTTGCTGCAGTTCATCTCTACTCTTGCCGCCCACCA